CGCCCTAAAGCCTCTCCAGACATCCAGTTTAGTGTATCTAAATACAGATCCACCCTAAAGCCTCTCCAGACATCCAGTTTAGTGTATCTAAATACAGATCCACCCTAAAGCCTCTCCAGACATCCAGTGTATCTATCTACAGAATACAGCCTAAAGCCTCTCCAGACATCCTGTTTAGTGTATCTAAATACAGATCCACCCTAAAGCCTCTCCAGACATCCAGTTTAGTGTATCTAAATACAGATCCACCCTAAAGCCTCTCCAGACATCCTGTTTAGTGTATCTAAATACAGATCCACCCCTAAAGCCTCTCCAGACATCCTGTTTAGTGTATCTAAATACAGATCCACCCTAAAGCCTCTCCAGACATCCTGTTTAGTGTATCTAAATACAGATCCACCCTAAAGCCTCTCCAGACATCCTGTTTAGTGTATCTAAATACAGATCCGCCCTAAAGCCTCTCCAGACATCCAGTTTAGTGTATCTAAATACAGATCCACCCTAAAGCCTCTCCAGACATCCAGTTTAGTGTATCTAAATACAGATCCACCCTAAAGCCTCCCTCCAGACATCCAGTTTAGTGTATCTAAATACAGATCCACCCTAAAGCCTCTCCAGACATCCAGTTTAGTGTATCTAAATACAGATCCACCCTAAAGCCTCTCCAGACATCCAGTTTAGTGTATCTAAATACAGATCCACCCTCTCCAGAAGCCTCTCCTCCAGACATCCTGTTTAGTGTATCTAAATACAGATCCACCCTAAAGCCTCTCCAGACATCCTGTTTAGTGTATCTAAATACAGATCCACCCTAAAGCCTCTCCAGACATCCTGTTTAGTGTATCTAAATACAGATCCACCCTAAAGCCTCTCCAGACATCCTGTTTAGTGTATCTAAATACAGATCCACCCTAAAGCCTCTCTCAGACATCCTGTTTAGTGTATCTAAATACAGATCCACCCTAAAGCCTCTCCAGACATCCAGTTTAGTGTATCTAAATACAGATCCACCCTAAAGCCTCTCCAGACATCCTGTTTAGTGTATCTAAATACAGATCCACCCTAAAGCCTCTCCAGACATCCTGTTTAGTGTATCTAAATACAGATCCACCCTAAAGCCTCTCCAGACATCCAGTTTAGTGTATCTAAATACAGATCCACCCTAAAGCCTCTCCAGACATCCTGTTTAGTGTATCTAAATACAGATCCACCCTAAAGCCTCTCCAGACATCCTGTTTAGTGTATCTAAATACAGATCCGCCCTAAAGCCTCTCCAGACATCCTGTTTAGTGTATCTAAATACAGATCCACCCTAAAGCCTCTCCAGACATCCTGTTTAGTGTATCTAAATACAGATCCGCCCTAAAGCCTCTCCAGACATCCAGTTTAGTGTATCTAAATACAGATCCACCCTAAAGCCTCTCCAGACATCCTGTTTAGTGTATCTAAATACAGATCCGCCCTAAAGCCTCTCCAGACATCCAGTTTAGTGTATCTAAATACAGATCCACCCTAAAGCCTCTCCAGACATCCAGTTTAGTGTATCTAAATACAGATCCACCCTAAAGCCTCTCCAGACATCCTGTTTAGTGTATCTAAATACAGATCCACCCTAAAGCCTCTCCAGACATCCTGTTTAGTGTATCTAAATACAGATCCGCCCTAAAGCCTCTCCAGACATCCTGTTTAGTGTATCTAAATACAGATCCACCCTAAAGCCTCTCCAGACATCCTGTTTAGTGTATCTAAATACAGATCCACCCTAAAGCCTCTCCAGACATCCTGTTTAGTGTATCTAAATACAGATCCACCCTAAAGCCTCTCCAGACATCCTGTTTAGTGTATCTAAATACAGATCCACCCTAAACCCTCTCCAGACATCCTGTTTAGTGTATCTAAATACAGATCCGCCCTAAAGCCTCTTCCCAGACATCCTGTTTAGTGTATCTAAATACAGATCCACCCTAAAAGCCTCTCCAGACATCCTGTTTAGTGTATCTAAATACAGATCCACCCTAAAGCCTCTCTCAGACATCCAGTTTAGTGTATCTAAATACAGATCCACCCTAAAGCCTCTCCAGACATCCAGTTTAGTGTATCTAAATACAGATCCACCCTAAAGCCTCTCCAGACATCCTGTTTAGTGTATCTAAATACAGATCCGCCCTAAAGCCTCTCCAGACATCCAGTTTAGTGTATCTAAATACAGATCCGCCCTAAAGCCTCTCCAGACATCCTGTTTAGTGTATCTAAATACAGATCCAGCCTGAAGCCTCTCCAGACATCCAGTTTAGTGTATCTAAATACAGATCCGCCCTAAAGCCTCTCCAGACATCCAGTTTAGTGTATCTAAATACAGATCCACCCTAAAGCCTCTCCAGACATCCAGTTTAGTGTATCTAAATACAGATCCGCCCTAAAGCCTCTCCAGACATCCAGTTTCGTGTATCTAAATACAGATCCAGCCTGAAGCCTCTCCAGACATCCAGTTTAGTGTATCTAAATACAGATCCGCCCTAAAGCCTCTCCAGACATCCTGTTTAGTGTATCTAAATACAGATCCACCCTAAAGCCTCTCCAGACATCCTGTTTAGTGTATCTAAATACAGATCCACCCTAAAGCCTCTCCAGACATCCTGTTTAGTGTATCTAAATACAGATCCACCCTAAAGCCTCTCCAGACATCCTGTTTAGTGTATCTAAATACAGATCCACCCTAAACCCTCTCCAGACATCCTGTTTAGTGTATCTAAATACAGATCCGCCCTAAAGCCTCTCCAGACATCCAGTTTAGTGTATCTAAATACAGATCCACCCTAAAGCCTCTCCAGACATCCAGTTTAGTGTATCTAAATACAGATCCACCCTAAAGCCTCTCCAGACATCCTGTTTAGTGTATCTAAATACAGATCCACCCTAAAGCCTCTCCAGACATCCAGTTTAGTGTATCTAAATACAGATCCGCCCTAAAGCCTCTCCAGACATCCTGTTTAGTGTATCTAAATACAGATCCACCCTAAAGCCTCTCCAGACATCCTGTTTAGTGTATCTAAATACAGATCCGCCCTAAAGCCTCTCCAGACATCCAGTTTAGTGTATCTAAATACAGATCCGCCCTAAAGCCTCTCCAGACATCCTGTTTAGTGTATCTAAATACAGATCCACCCTAAAGCCTCTCCAGACATCCAGTTTAGTGTATCTAAATACAGATCCAGCCTCCTCTCCAGACATCCTGTTTAGTGTATCTAAATACAGATCCGCCCTAAAGCCTCTCCAGACATCCAGTTTAGTGTATCTAAATACAGATCCAGCCTAAAGCCTCTCCAGACATCCAGTTTAGTGTATGTAAATACAGATCCACCCTAAAGCCTCTCCAGACATCCTGTTTAGTGTATCTAAATACAGATCCAGCCTAAAGCCTCTCCAGACATCCTGTTTAGTGTATCTAAATACAGATCCGCCCTAAAGCCTCTCCAGACATCCTGTTTAGTGTATCTAAATACAGATCCGCCCTAAACCCTCTCCAGACATCCTGTTTAGTGTATCTAAATACAGATCCACCCTAAAGCCTCTCCAGACATCCTGTTTAGTGTATATAAATACAGATCCACCCTGAAGCCTCTCCAGACATCCTGTTTAGTGTATCTAAATACAGATCCACCCTAAACCCTCTCCAGACATCCTGTTTAGTGTATCTAAATACAGATCCGCCCTAAAGCCTCTCCAGACATCCTGTTTAGTGTATCTAAATACAGATCCACCCTAAAGCCTCTCCAGACATCCTGTTTAGTGTATCTAAATACAGATCCACCCTAAAGCCTCTCCAGACATCCTGTTTAGTGTATCTAAATACAGATCCACCCTAAAGCCTCTCCAGACATCCAGTTTAGTGTATCTAAATACAGATCCACCCTAAAGCCTCTCCAGACATCCTGTTTAGTGTATGTAAATACAGATCCGCCCTAAAGCCTCTCCAGACATCCAGTTTAGTGTATGTAAATACAGATCCGCCCTAAAGCCTCTCCAGACATCCTGTTTAGTGTATCTAAATACAGATCCAGCCTGAAGTCTCTCCAGACATCCTGTTTAGTGTATATAAATACAGATCCGCCCTAAACCCTCTCCAGACATCATGTTTAGTGTATCTAAATACAGATCCGCCCTAAAGCCTCTCCAGACATCCATTTTAGTGTATCTAAATACAGATCCGCCCTAAAGCCTATCCAGACATCGTGTTTAGTGTATCTAAATATAGATCCACCCTAAAGCCTCTCCAGACATCCAGTTTAGTGTATCTAAATACAGATCCACCCTAAAGCCTCTCCAGACATTCTGTTTAGTGTATCTAAATACAGATCCGCCCTAAGCCCTCTCCAGATATCCTGTTTATTGTATCTAAATACAGATCCACCCTAAAGCCTCTCCAGACATCCTGTTTAGTGTATCTAAATACAGATCCGCCCTAAACCCTCTCCAGACAAGCTGTTTAGTGTACCAAAATGCACATCCATTCTGAAGCCTCTCCAGACATCCTGTTTAGTGTATCAAAACGCACATCCATTCTAAAATCTCTCCAGACATCTAAAAAGAAGTCCATTCTAAGACCTCTCCTGAGATCCAGTTTAGTGTATCTACATAAATATCCACCACCAAGCCTCTCCCTTATATACTTACATACAGATTAATTCTAAAACGTTTCTAATCATATTGCCTGGAATTTTAAAGTATAGATTGATCATGAAGTCTCTCGAGAAAACCTGCTTTTTATGCGTACATCGATACGAGAGATCCTCCATGTAACCCGACATATGGAAGCTCAAACCCTTGTGGATAATACGCACTCATATCGTTTCAGATCTTCCTCCTGCCAGTGGTGAGTGTTTTGTTCTTTTGCTATAATATAAATATCAATAGATACGAATAATGTCGATAACGGTACCAATTATGCTGCGACACTGATATATGTTTATAATGTGTGTCGTGCCTGTTGCAGGCTGTCTGCAACCCCTGGGGATGTGGAATGGCACCATCAAAGACAGTCAGTTAGTTGCCTCCTCTTCCTCCTCCAACAACGGCAAGGAAAAGGCTAGGTATCTCTGCTGCTTTGGTAAATATATAACGTCAACTTCTTACAACAATCAGCTTTGATCATCTGTGGCTTCCGTGGAACGTAGAAGACGGAATATCGATGAAAATTACATGCACGGATATCAGTGATGACACATGGTTTTGGGTAATAGGGTGTTTGTTGCCTGATGTTGCAGAGCAGTACCCCCGGTATGTTACGGCTGCCTGTAAACAAAATGGATAAACAAATGGTATATAAATACGTATTTGGGAGGTAATTCGCCTCACGTAGTCACGTGTACAGATAAGGTTTGCCAACATTGACATGGTTGTTCTAATCATGCAATACGCATTCTATTTTCATCTGTCTTTTTCCTTACTGCGTCTGAAACAGAACACTTTTATCACCTTTCCCCGCTTGGAACAATAAAGTGGAGAAAAGCACAGATTTCAGTTTCAAATACATATCTAAAATCACATAGTAAATGTTTCAACACAAATTAGGCGAGACGAAAGGAGCCTGGTGCCCAGATAAGGATGACAGAGCGCCATACTATGAAGTTCACCTTAACAAGCCCTACCTGGTTGCTATGATCATGTTCGAACATCCCAACACCCTCAACTACTGGGAAGTGCCAGACTCGTTCCTCAACACCTTCACGCTGCAGTACAGGAACGTCTACCAGGATGCCATGGAGACATATGCTGTGGTGGGTGTACCAGAACAAAGTAAACATGCCCATAGATAGCATGCAAGCGGAATTTCATACGAGGGGCTATCAAAAGGTTTTGAGCCTAAAATACTTCTTAAAAGTGCAGGATAAAAATAACTGTATGACATTGACGAATGGCTTCATTCACATCAACGTAATATTGACATGCACATGTCGCTAGATTCCGGTCACGTGACATCTAATCACATGTATCCCTATTCAAACAGCAGAAATGGATAAGCTTGAATACAGAGCAGTCATAAAGTTTTTGGTCCTCGAGGGCCACCCTACGAAGCATATGGAAGAGCGATTGACAGCAGTACGAGTACCTCATGGGACTTAGTACTTTTTGATAGCCCCTCGTAGGAGATATGGTTAGAGACACATAGGGTAAATCCAGTCCAAGGTTATGGTTTTGCTGATAGTTTTCATCGTCTCTTGAAGTTATCCACACGATCAACCATATGCGAACGAAGTTTATAGGTTGTACTGTATTTCTTTAACGTATTCCTGGGTGTAATCACTTATAATTAATTCCACTTCAGTTGTCGTGTGTTCATTTACTAGTATTCATTACGTAAATGAATAATTCTAATGCCGTTGTTACGTTACAACGTTTGGTAGAATCGCAGCGTCAGTGTGAATGGAGGCTCAAATAGTTTTTATTCGGGAAAAGATTTCACGAAATAGTACTTGTTGAATATATAACTCACAACATATAATCTGTAGTACGTCTCCATCCTTTGTAAATGCCCCCTATATAAACATAACTTCAACTTACACAATATGCCTGTTCATAGGGCCATACATATTATAAAGTTGGAGTTACTTTAATCTTGTTACCAAAGTGTTGGACTGAAGGGTGATTGCAATTGGTAAATCCACAGAATATTGACGCCATCTACAACTCCAGTATAAGCCTGTCCCCCATGTTTGACCCCTTCATTCTGACTGACGTCATCAGAATAGTCCCAAGCAAATGGACCAACGAACCATGCTTCCGCTTCGAAATCATCGGCTGTGACCCTGACCGTGAGTTTACTACACAATATTAGTTATATGTTATTCTAATAATTTGAAATCAGTGACATTGATAGAAATACAAATCCGTCTTACTCAAGTCAGTAGGGGTAATTTTGAAATGCAATTATTCAAAGTAGCACCCTCACCTTGAATTAAATGGCATGCTTCTGTTCGACAGAGGGCCCAGTGGACAACCCGCTTCCAACCACAAAGAGTCCCTTCTTCAACCCGGGTGTCATCGTAGGCAGACGTAAGAGAGGGATTTACTTTAACCGTCCTGCGAACACTTTCCCATAGTCGTCTCCGGGTTGGGTTGTGGCCGGAAGACAAACGTGGTCAGCGTGATGTGTGTGGCTTCATCATGCTGCATGCAACACGTTGTAGATGTTTCTTGTGTAACGATACAATCATGTGTTCACGCATAAAGTGATTCATCATGGGTTGAATGATCTTTTCCTACTCCTGAAACATCACTGAATCATGTCCAGTGGATAAACTGTACAAACTAAAACAAACGTACGCGCCAGCGTTTGACTTGATGCGTGTATACATGGACTGTACATGTTATATTGATAGATTGTAAATGATGTTTTATTACCAGAAGCAAATACATTCTCTGTGTCTATAAACATTTCCTGAGCATTATCAACATTTACATGATTAAATACCTTACTTTATAAAACGTAGTTAGTATTATACATATCGTCGTCCACCTTCTGGAAAGGGAGCGTGTTCCGACTAGTCAACGTCATATTGTTGGTCATTTGTTGATTGCCGCACTAAGCTCGATGACCAAATCTGAACCATAACATCCAGTGATGTCCAATGATGATCCAATGATGACATCATGAGCATCGACGGTTATCGTCTCGAATGACAGGTAGTGCTTACTGGGGACCAGTATTCTTACGAAAAATTCCAACGGTGAAATGTAGCGACATAAAACTAAATCAGAAATTAGGAATGTGTGAATTCTAGCACTGTGTTTTCTTTGACGCCATATATTCACAACACACATGAGCATTATTCAAACACCACCAACTGTTTCTTTATATGCTTTGAAATACAGAATTCCGCGTATTAAAATGAAATGGCAACTATAGCATATTGTATTTTGATTTAAACAAAAACAAAACTGAAATCTCTTGCTCGAACCTAGCGTCTAAGATACAACCAAAGATATTCGATGGGGTTCATATCGGGGCACCTTGAGAGCCATGGCAATGTTTCGATGGCATTGTCCTACAAGTGGGCAAGGCTGGCTCGAGAACGGTGATGTCGAGCTTTGTCATCCATGAATATTGGACGACCAGCATGGGGATGGTTATCAAAGTGTGGTACAACGACGGTTGCCACCCGGACAATTGCCACCAAGGACAATTTCCAACCCGGATAATTGCCACCGGAAAATTGCCACCCAAAACATAAAAAATAATAATTAAGTTTCTTTACCAACTTTTATTGAGCTTGGCATGATAATTCATAACAAATAACCACATATATTCTGCCATATTACCAACTTGCCAAATCTTGCACCTCAATCTAGAATATTTAAGACCAGACACTATTACAATAGAATTGTATTAAATAGAGCACTAGCAAATAAATACCCAATTACATTTTTCATGTACACATGCATATAACACATTTCTTAAAGTGAGCTCGTTACATCCGGATGTTGTGCCACACTGCGCAGAAAGTCCACATACATTCTATTTGGGTAGTCATTCGGGATTGCTTGTAGTCTTTGTTGGCAGTCTCTGTATTGATCGAGATCGAGCAAGAGTCATCCCTGACAGCATCTGATCACTAAGGGCTTGTTCTCGTCTCAGGACACCCAGATGGATGGGTGACACTCCTCACATGGTGGTTAAGAGGCGCCGGTGTCTCCCCTCGAGTTGATGGTTGGTACGGGGTAGGCCATCCAGTGTTCTCTGGTGCCTAGAGATCAAGAGGTACCAAACCAAAGGCACCAAGAACGATGGGAAGCCTGACAACAGTGCACTTGGGGTGTAAGCGAGACATTTCAAAGATATTACCACTATTATTTTTATTATTAGCAGTAAATGCTAGTGGACACCCATAGCAAAAGGGCGTGTATTATTCTCTTTTGTCGCATTTATATCTTATATTGAATTACTTTCACTATTTGCTATACTTTCCTGACTTTAAAGCATGTCGCGCGCGCGCGCGCACGCACGCACGCCCGGACACACACACCCATACACACACAAGCGCTTTTCCATTGCTTCACGATCCCGGATAGTTTCGGAAGCGCACTTATAATCAATACTCACACTTATCAGCGATTCATCACATGGACACAAAGATGTGTATATACCTTGCAAGTGAAAACGTATTTATGAATGAATACTCTTTGGGGACTACATACAATTCCATTACATTTCTTTCAATGGCAAAAACAACAGACATCAAAACATGTCCATTTAAGTAGAGTAAGCAGACATAATAAGAAGTTGTATTGCCACAATGTATGACAAATGTTCACGAATACAATACAGGTGTTGAATGAGGTGACATGTTTAGCCAAACATTGTCCTGTGGCCCTATGTATATGTCGGGCGTAAATTCTAGCCCGGGCGTAAGTAAAATGTGCGCCTGGGTGTAACGCCAACCCGGTATGCATATCTTAGACGTAGCTAAAGTTACGCCAGGCGTAGCAGTCTATATTTACGCTACCTACACAGCAGGCGTAGTCCTGTAATGGCGGCAGTCGTATACAGATTCCTACAGAAAGCGTATATTTAGAGAAAGGTCAAACCCGTTAGAAATATACGACGACCTTGATCTCTGTTGAAGATTTAGATTCAGGAGAATTGACATTTTCAAGATAGTGGATACAATCAGAAGAGGTATCGGTTATGGCTCCTAATACGCAATTCCACCCTTACAACAACAGAGAGTGTTCAATGTTATATTTTCAAAACAATTCCTGTACGATGCAACAATTGTGTTGAATATAACATTAAAGATATTTTACTGTAATTAATTTGAATTCATACCCATTTCATACAAAACGTGACTGTAAAGTAAGGTTTAAATACAGTTGAAACACATCAGATTAAAAGTCAAGTACAGTTTAGAATGCACAGATTAATTTATCTGATAAATTGTGTTTTCCCGGTTTCTTTGGCTTGCCATGATTACGGCTGAAACGGGTGTGCCGCGAAGTTGTTTCGCGCCTTTTCCCGGCGGTTTGAAAACGTTCGAAAATCTAAAAATAGCACACTGCGCCTGGACGTAAATCCGTCACGTCGGGCATAGTAACGCTTAGGCTTAACCGACGTTGTGCATGACGAGTAAGAGCAGGGCGCTGCTAAGCCCGACGTAGTGTGTTACGCCTGACGTAGTGTGTTACGCCTGACGTTAGCTACGCCCGACATGTGCATACGGCCACTGATCTGGTAGGTTATATGCCGAGCTTTATCCCGGAACATACCGGGTGAGGCGCAATATGATAATGATATGTGGATATCACTAAACCTATGACTTTCAGATCCATCAATAGGTTAGTATATTCAATCCTCGCTGAAGGCTGCTTGACAAATGTTCTTATATAGTTGAGTAGACTCAATCCCAGTACGGGACTGCTTATTATACATTCTTACACAGCTTATCAGATTTGGTCCTCGCACGCGGCTGCTGGACACATGTTATTGTGTTAGGGAGAGAATCCCACTCTCCAACAGGCTGCTTAACAAACATTTGTGTATAGGTGAATTGATTCAATCCCTGAACACTGCTTTCTAAAGATGAATGTTTCATAAAATCTTCATAAAGATTCAATCCCGAACCTAGGGTACTTATATGTCTATGTATAGGGCGGTAAAGTCAAGTCCCAGGGATAACTGCTTCATATGTCTCATTACATACACAATGTACTCGTATTCATGCTATGTAATTCAATCACTATCTCTCACTTGGCGTATATCTTTTCATAAACTTTCCTTTTTTTTTTACCTCGATATTTAATCATGTGATGTAAAAATATGACGTCTATTACGTGTGGATTTAAAAATTAACATTTGATTTATTTGAATCCGTAAACTAAACAAACCCACTTTGCCATTGCCAGAAGAATCATTCTGAAAATTTACTTAGTTAAATAGGTACATACAGTTTTAGCACACAGCAAATGCTTATATGTATTTCTTATGCCACAATGATGTTCTGTTCGTATTCTCAAAACAGTGTCGGTCCTCAAGTTTTTACATGCAATTAAAATTGCATGCAATACAGCAATTAATACTCCCTTGTTGTAACCCGTGTTAGGTGGTATAAACCTACACATGTTATTTGTCATCATTCACTTGATGGTCAGTTAATGAATTTATAACAGGTATAATGAGCGGTAACACCACTTAGAATATCCGACAAAGGTTCCCATTTGGCATTTCTTGTGTCTGGAGTAAATACTCAACATTATAAATACAGGTCTGATGTGGAAAATGTATTACATGTTATGTAATATGCGGATGGAAGTGCAGCGAGAAGAATTACAAGCCGAGTTACAAAAACAAACATCGATCAAAGGATTAACCGATAACACGCTGATTGATTTATTACTTTTATCTTGCACAGCGGATTTGTCAAAAGGTAGTGTTTATGTATGTAGATTTACTCATCTATACTGAATACACTCTGTCGTAAAGTGTCTGTGTAAAAACAACGTCCTTCTTTCAAAGGATTAACCGCCAATACATTGATTGATTGCTCATTAATGGCTAACTAAATTACTTTTTTTTAAAGAATGGCGGACATTATGCAATTACTTGCCAGGTGTGATATCTGGGGTGACCAATGAGACTATACACCAATGTGAAAAACCTGAAACGATATATCACTTTTTCGCATAATAGAGTGTTAAACGACACATCACTTGGTACAGGTGCAGATGAATGGCATATCACTTGTTTATGTGGATATTGATGATACATTCCTCGAACAATGTAATAGCCTGACATTGTTGCTATAACTTTAATCTGTTTTCATTTTAATATTTGCACTTTGTTTTTAGTCATTTGTCGTAGCATTCAACAGAATCATTGTTTTCGCCGTGAAGTGTAATGAGACAGACAACATACTCTAGGGCGTGTGTGCGAATTATGATTTACATTGGCAAACTATAAAATGTCTAGATATTACAGTCATGTTATAAATTCACCATAAGAATCAGTAGATCGCCTGCTTTTGATTAAGTTTCAAAATGCATACAAGTATGATAATAAACTAATTAGGATTATAAGACCAAATATAAAGAAGTACATTGACTAGTATCTACATACTGGTGAATGGACGTTAACCACGTGAATGTAGCAAGAAATTTATCGCGCAGTATTGTCACTTCGACCCCCACCTCGCTTCCGTGGAAGAAATCGTTATGTTACAAGTTGTGTCATGCAAAATCCTTTTGGTCATGATTCAAATACATACTTTACTACGAGTAGAAAGTAGTTTTGATATCTAACTCGATGAAAACAAACCACAATTCTTTAAAGAGTGCCCTGTCGCGAACATCCGCCAGTCTGAGAATAAATGCTATTTAGGTTTGTTTCACCGAGTTCAAAATCAAAACTACTTTCTACTGGTAGTAAAATATGTATTTGACTGATGGCCAAAAGGACTTTGCATGATATAACATAACAATTTCTCTCA